GCGGTTTTGTTTTTCGGCCGGTCCTCGCGAGGGAAAACCCAAACGGGGATTGGGAAACAAAACCCCAGCGATCCTACTTTTGCCATCTTGGGGATGAGAAAACAGGAGCGACACTCGCCGCTCGCTAACCAGGCGCCCGGCGGTCACAACGCTTCTGCTGGCGTTGGCAGATTCCTGCTTCCCACAGCAGCACCAGGCGAGCATGCACACAGCAAAGCTCATCGCAACACCCCCACCCCTCTCCGGAAAAAAAAAAAAAGAGAGAGAGAGAGAAAAGAGGAGAAAAAAAAAACTTTATCCGTGATGGGGAGAGAGGCGTCTCGGCGGACGGCGCCTACTCACCCTTTCATGGTGGACAGGAGTTGTTTCCCGGGGGTGTCGCGGTCAAAGCGGAGGGCAGCGGCTCGTCCTTGGGGGGGATTCGGGCTGAGTTCGGGTGAGGATTGAGCACCGCTGTCAGCCAGAACCACATGGATCAACTTCGCTCCCCCTCCGCGCGCGCACACACACACACACACGGCTGAACTCTGACCCCGCTCGCTCCGCACCCCCCTACCCCGGATAAAAATATTGCCTTCCCCCGCGGAGACCCCAAAACCGCCTGCCCGTCCCCCAACGCCACCCTGACGCGGTTTGCGACCGGTTTTCAGTGCGTGAAAATATTTTGAAAATGGGATTCGATTAAGCGACGAATTTAACGGCTGTTTTTTTTAAAAACGTCCAAAGGCCGTGACCTTTGACTCGGGCCGACGTTGCCGTTTTCGATTAAAATATTTTAACGACCGCATTTAAAAAAAATAAATTGATTGCGAGGAAATGCGACAGTATGTTTAAATGTTAAAAATCATTTGAGTTGAACTGAAGGAAAATATCTAATCCAACAGCGAATCGGATAGATCACGTGACCAGAAATACACACACGTGCCCTCCCGTAATATATCTGAATATTTCTTTACGCAATTATGGAAATTAATGAACTAACTAATCTGTTATTTTACTGACAGGCTATCTATTAACAGCTACTGTTGGTATCTTCAATGGCAATTATTCAAAAACAGTTTTCGAGTATACTAACGTTATTATAAATTTGGGACGCCGGTTACGGGTTAATATTTTAAAAAATATTTTGGTAAGATAATGACTCCCTACATGAGACGCATATTTTTGAATAGTTAAAAGCTAAGTACATCATCCTTTATGAATCATAATAGTGTTTTAGTTATTCAAATTATTTTATCAAGAACTAAACTGGATAACACGCGTTCGATAAAGTTCCTCCAATATCCCATAATGCTGTTTTCTTTCAATTTGACGGAGGGTGCGAAATATATAGGGGAAGTGACGAAACTGGGCCTAAATCATCTCCATCTTGGCTCTAGAAACGGCTTAGCTTAGCGGTGCAGCCCAGCATCCAGTTTTGAGCCAGTATGGTGTCAGTTTCCTCTCCTGTCGAAGGGGTAGTTCAGCCTGCGGTGAATGAAGTCAGCTGACTCCCCGATCTCTCGCTTTGCTGACAAGTTCCTTGCTGGAGGAGGGAGAGAAAAAGCTTTAAATAATTTCGTTTCTCGAAGGTAACGTAACGGTATTTGACTCTTTAATCACTGTTTTGTGTGTGTTTAGCCGGTTTTATTGTGTTGCTGCGTGTCTTAAATTACATTTTCAATGAAATGCAGATTGTAAGTCGGTAGCAGACCTATGCGCCGCTGAAGTGACAGACTGGACAGCTGATCCATATGTGCAAAATAAACACTGCGGGTTTCTGATGTGAATAAATTAAAACAATTTTCATTTCACGCTTCGTGCGGCAGTACTGTCACAGGCCTTCGTTTTTGTTTTCTTTTCTTTTAGCTATCGAAACCGTCCTCGGCCACCATTGCACTGTACGGCAGTTGTGAAAAAAATAATTGAAAACGAAATGCAACATCGGTCCTTCAGTCGTATTAAAACATCCTAACCGTACTGTAGTCCAGTAAGCGTCTGAATTATTAGCAGACACTCTTCCATATCGGCTAGCATGTTGTGCTCGTCAGATGGAGACTCGGTGTGATATACCGTATTATGAAATAATTTTAGATTACGCTTTTTCGATGAACGCGAATATCTGAGCGATCACAATTACAGAGCCGATCGTATTTTTGAAGTGTCAAGATTCGAGTTCACTGCGCAACAGAGGTTTGTTCGTGGGTGCAAACGTGTTTTCGGACGCATTGCTGGTAAATACCGCTGGCCTTGCCAGGGGTCGTGTAGGTTTCAGTTTTCGAGGAATAGGAATAATTGCAATGCGGAAAGATGTCTCAAGTTAAGAATGTGTTGCGTGTTTACGTCGATGGAGGATAGCTAACGTATCCTGACGGGTATTGCTGAGACGAAGTACCCTAGACTAGATTTTGTTGAACGGATTCAGACCTCAGAGGTATCGGCCTGTTTTACGGGACTGAACTGTAGCGGTGACCGTCTCATTCCCCGTCTATGCATTTAGTTGCCTTCGCTCTGTCGGAGGGTTGGCTCGTCTTAACAAATGTGTATTAGACACGATCGACACGTCATGTGATCGAGTCAGCAGACCGGGCGAAATTTTCCGAAGGGCGCTCAGCATCTTTATGGGGTGTCTGGAGTGGGGCTGGGTGTACAGTTGCTGCGTAACAGATATATGGGGGTCCATCACATGCCGGGCGGTATCAGAACTGCATTCTGCGATGCTCCCCTAAAATGTATTCTATGATCTGACGTAGAAAACGGAGTGATCTATTATGAATGATGTATTGTATTGTAGTCCATTTGTATCATCTGATCGGTCTAGCAGTTTTGTCATTTTGTTTTACATAAAAGTGGTGTGGATATTGTAAGGGTGATGTGCCCCGAGTATGGTCTTCCATTCCGGGTGATGCAGGATAAGGCAGGGGTTCCCAGCTTTGCTTTTGGGGTTCCCCCACTCCTGCTGGCTTTCTTTCCAGATGGGCTCTTGTTGGCACAGTAGGACCCTTGCTGTAATAGTAGAACTCATTGAAACTCTTTGACTTGGCAAACAGGAGTGCCTGCTGTTCTTCGTCTCCAATGCACTGGCCTCTAGTTCCTGTTTCACTGCTCGTTCAGAAGAGGCCGACTGGGCTGACTTTGTCTGTGCCCTTGAGGACCCTCAATACTCCCTTGAGTCACCTGCCCTGTTCATTTCATTTGGCGATGGTTCACCATCGCTGACGGCAAGCTGGACAGAGGCTTGGAGGTGTCCATTGAGCCTCGTGCGCTGTGACGCAGTGGGACTGTGAGCTCCAGAGTGACAGAACCTCGGCTGGGTGGGTTTGTGGTAGGGGAGCACAGCGGTGAGTCAGTCTCACGACGAACCTAATTTCAGAACCTGCATTGCTACGAGCCAGTGCCTTTTTTTATATAGGAATGCTTCAAGAGCATGTGCTTACTACCCTCCTGTGAATGAAGTATGAGCAGTTTTCAGGGATGGGTCAAAGATCCCGATTTTAATTTTACACTTTTGGCACTACTGTGCTTTGATGTGGAGTGTTAGTGAACTTGGTGGGTTTGACGGAAGATCAGTGGAAACTGTCTGTAAGTGAGTCATAACCGTGAATGAGAAGGTGACTCTGATGCATTGTTCCATTTTGGAAGTTCCTTTAATGTTTCTTTCTTTTATAGCATGATCCTATGCAGTTGTTCCACTGTCATGTAATCGCTACCTTGTGATTCAGTGCATAGGTCTGGGTTGGATAAACAAAGGTCCCCCTTTAGGTCTAATGATGGCCTGAGGGGTCCAAAGCTGCTGGCTGGTGTCCTGCACATGTTCATCTGCACCAGATTGTATTTGTGTTGCAAAATCTGCGCAAACATGCTGATCTTGGGCAAAGCCTCCAAGTAAACGTCTTATGAGGTGCTTAACAAAACAGACAACAATACTGTACCAACGGCCAAGTTGAGTGAAGACTGTGTCCAGACCCCTGCCCAGATCAGATTATCAGTGGTTGAACGTGCAGTCCAACCACAGATACTGACCAGTCAGAGCCAGAGGAGGTCATGTGACCGTGCCTGATCACACAGCTGCACCGGGAGGGGGGAGGGTGCCACATTGAGAGCCGAGCAGTGAGACGTTTTTCCCAAAGCCCCTTACTGTCGATCAGTTCATTATTCGTTCAGCTGGAGCCCACATCAGGGGGTCGGTCTCCACACGGGTGAGCGTAAATCATGCAGGCTGTCCATCCAGCAGCCCAGCCAGTGCGTTGGCAATGCCAAATCTCAACTTCAAATCTCTGCGTGGCTTTCATTTCAGCTCTCTTCACGCAAAGAGCTGTGTAGCAGGAGCCCTGTAGCACAATGGATAGGTACAGTACAGCAGGAAACCAGTGTTAGGTACCGTGACACTTCATTCTCGCACAGGTCTTCTGTGCAGCAGGTACGTCGTTGGTAAAATAACAAATCTGTTTTGCATGTTCTTTCCATGTTTACGTTGTTTTTTTTTCTCCAGTGCCTGACTTCCTCCTTCCTTCCAAAGTCACCCTGACCTGTGTAACTGGTTCCTGTAAGTTGTGCCCCCTGTGCACCCGTGTGTGTCCCCTGTGGTGGACTGGTGTCCCCTTCGCGTGGTCCTGCCCTGTGCCCTTGGCACTGGGATATACGCAGGGTTGCCACAACCCTGGCCAGGAATAAACTGCTTTTTGCAAAAGCATAGACAGATAGACAGTAAAGTGACCTCACTTGAGGAAGGAGAGGAAGTGCTGGTATTTCTGAACACATGTTGTCCAGAGTTGTAATGGATGTAGTGGCAGGTCCGGTATATAACAAAGAGGTCAGCTTCCTGATCCTCCGCTAGCTCATCGAGTGCGGCAGGGTGGATGGAGAAATGGCTGTGACGGGTTCTTGTAATGGATTGCAGTCCAGGAAGTGCAGGCTTGCATGTGGCAACATGGGGAAATCTGTCCTTAATCAGGACTTTCTGTTCTCTTTTGTCATCAGTTGTCTGCCGAGCTGTGGTAACTGTTGTTGTTCTTTTTGCAGTTTTAACAGATATGACCAGGCATGCCTGTGAAGGTGTGAAGGATCAATTGGGCTGTTCTGCTTAATGAAGGCTTCTCTTCTTGTGAGTTGTAGGCAGGGAAAGAAAAGAATGTCCCGGTCCGAGTGTGGCAGTACTGTGGAAGGGGGTGTGTAGAAAGAGGGGTGATTCTCTTGTGCTTTAGGTATCGTGCCTGCAGGGGTCACAGCCCCTCCTAGATTTCATTCCAGCCCTTCTTTGAAAAATGGTCGTTTTATAGCGTTTCTCATCCCTAGGCGTTTGAAAGCTCTCTACAAAATGGTGGGGTCCACCTCATCCACCATTAAAGTACAGTTCCCATGTGGTTGGCATCTGCATCTTACCAACACAGAAGATCAGGTGGAGGAGCGAGAAACTGCTCCTCCAGTTGAACTAGGAGTAAAATCTAAGGACAGGTTGTACAGGTCCAGACTGGAGTTGAGCCAGAGTACCAGGGTTAATGACCCTTTATGAATTTTAATGCTTAATGAATTTTTAATGGCCAAGCAGTCTGGACCTTTGCTTTAATATTTCATCTGAAGGAATGGGTGCATCTCCTACAACATGGTGTCTCCCTGTCAGCGTTCTGGGGAAGAGGTTTGAAAAGTGCCACCTACTGGTCCACCGGCACCACATACAGGTTTTTCCTTGGTGGCCTCCCATCCCAGTACGGACCAGGCCCAGCCTTGTTGAGCTCTGGGGAGATCAGTGCCTCAGGTGGTGATGCTGTCTGGACTAAAACTTTTGCTGAACTGGTCAAAACAAGTCCTCCTCCCCATACCTCGCCATCCAGTTCTTGCTTAATTGCGATTATGATATAACACAGTGACTTGAAGTTTTCAGTGCTTTTGTTCTTGATGATTTTAAAAAATGTAAAGTGCTTTGTAACCATATTTAAAATGCGTACTTTACTCATCTCGCTTACGACCCAGAGACCGCTTGAACCAAAGAGCAGTGATGATGATTACAGAGAGGTTACATGTAGCTTGAACATAAACACCAAAACTGTGGAGGTCCCTGCGTCCCCGCTAAGCCTGCGAGACTGGGGCTTCAGGGGGCCTGGTAGTGTCCTTTGGTGATGCTGTCCCTCGTGACGGGGCCGGGGGCGATGCCTGGCTGTGACGAACGGGGCCCGTGGCTGTTGGGGACACCGAGGGAGGAACAGTGGCGCTGGCGTGGCGCAGCGTCAGTGCAGAGGGGAAGAGCTCCAGATTGTGTGTGGGGGGGGGAGTCTGATCTTGAGTGGGATGCGAGAGCTCAGATTAGTCAGCGGGTCAGCTGACAGTGTGTGTGTGTGTGTGCACGCGCTGTGTGATCCCCTGCTGTTGCTGCGGCTGCAGTCGCGTCTTCCTCGGAGCAGCGGCTCTGCGTTTCCCAGGGAAAGGCTGGGAATTCAGCCGGGCTTCATTATACGGCTCCAGGTAAGATCCAGGCACAGGGCCCCAGCCAAGCGCGGTGTAGTTGGCAGAGTATTCTTAACACAGATCGTGTGGTGGTGCGCCGCAGTGGTCTTTTTTTTTTTTTTACATTGTGCTTTTGCTCTGAGAGGCCCAGCATTTTTGTCACGTTCCTGTGAACAGGGTCAGGCTCCGTGCTATAAATGCAGAATCATTGGGGAAAAAAATGGAACTTAAAACAAATGAGAGCCATCGGAGGCGTGAGCCGCTGGTCACCTTGCCGGGAGAATCGCTGCGTGGCGCTGGAGTGATGCGCTGGCGCTGCGTCCGTGCGGAAGGCCTGGATTGGAGCACGCAGGTGCCTGCTCTGAGGGGCTCCCCGCTCCTGGGCTCGGTTCAGATCTATCTGTTTGTGTACGTCTCCCGTCAGTCATCTGGTTTTGTTTATTTAGCGATTACCAGGTGGATGGATGTGCATAACATACTGCGAAGCACTAGAATACCAGAAAAGAGTCGTGGGAGGCCGCAGCCTGGTTTGTCTGTCTCTTGATTAGATGTTGGATCATTTTTTGTAATGCTAGCCAAGTGTTATTGTCGCTAAATGGTATTTTCTGATGCCTGAATAATAAGACTTCTTTAAATCAAAAGCAGCTATTTAAATGGAAAGAGGCAGTGAGTCACCCGTTGGCAATACTGGTTTTTATTCACTCGGTTCTGACGGTGGGTTTTTACAGTCCAGTGCTTTTGTAGTAAATGCAGTCTATTTCGCCAACATCTTAAAAATGGATGGTGTGTATTGCCTAAGAAGTCTTCATTGAGATAGAAAGGTTGTATTGATTACTGGATCTGATCTACCTATACAATATTTTGTTTTTTATTACTCTGTTTCTGGGAGACATTTGCAAGACTACATTAACCAGATTGAAAAGCTTTTGACACATCGCAAGATCTGTTCTCTGGTTTTCTTTGTATGCAAGCAGAAACTGTGTAATCTGATAGCGAAAGCTGAATCTCTCACCTCCCCAGGTCTGTCATGTGTTGTATAGGAAACAACAGCATTCAGTTTACAAAACCAGTTGCTGAAATCCAGCTCCAGCCTCATTTTTTAAGCTGTGTGTGTATGCTTAGTGTACTGTTGCAGTCGGACTCTTCCGGGTGAGTGGTTACCTCCCTCTTCTCCTGTTCTTGCAGTTTAATCAAGAGCAGCAGGGATGAAGCTGGTGAATCAAACTGTTGTTTTTTTTTCTTAAAGGATGAATGGCAATCTGTGAGGTGATGTAAAATTTTTCAGGGTCCATTTCTTAACAATAAAAAAAATTAACAGTTACTGCAGGGAAAAACTGTGGAACTTTGCTTATCGCAGGACGTGCATCTGCTCCTATAACAACATATAGGACTGAAAGATCTTGTGAATACGCAGGTTAAGGCATTCTAGGCTTTGATCTTTGTCAAACAAGTCCATTAATATGTGTGGTGATTTGTTACTGTGGCTCCCCCTGCGTGTTCCAGTTTGGGGGTTCCCCTGTGCTGGGCCTGGATGAGAGCGGTGAGCTGTCCGTACACAGTGCACCCTGCCATCCTATCCTGACTTTACATGGCCCTGCTACCTTTCTCAAGGCCGTGTGAATGGGGGAGAGGAGGGCAGGAAGGGGGTGGTGGAAGGCTGGGGCGCTGGCCTGAGCTGTATCCCACAGTGTCATGGGTGGAAGCATGTAAGGTCACTGTTTCACATGGGCTGGTCCAGAATGGGCTTCGTCATCCACACATTACAGAAGCTTCCCATTTCTTCAGATCTTGATAGTGGATGCTATATGAAATTGAGGTGCTCTTCCAGATTTGGTTAAGTTTATCAGCAAAGGCTACAGAAGCCGTAGACTATGTCTGAATCTTCCTGAATGTAATTGAAGAATGATGAGAAGTAACGAAGATCTTGAATATGACTCATCTTGATGACACTTCTGTACGTGCATGTATAAAAATGTTCCATGCGTGTAGCAAAAACAAAATTCTGGACAGAAGACTGGAAACGGTGAGCCTCAAGAATCCATTCTTGGAAAAACCTCCTACCTACTCAAGGAAGAACCTTGACGCTTATGTTGACACCTCATTTATGTCTTGTAGGCTCTTGTCTAGAAGCAGTAAAGCCAATGAGAATTTTATGATTTAGAGTTAAAATTGTAGGAAGAATTGAAAATTAAGAATTAAAATTGTATTAGTCTCGAAAAGAACCCCATTCTTTTATTTCTCAATGGTATAGACAGAGATAACCCATAGACTACTGAGTCAACAATGAATCACGAAACAGGACACACATGGAAACTATGAGGAATTTAAAACTGACAATAGGGGACATTTTTAAGCATCTAAAATGCAAAGGGAGGTAGGGATTTGGAACAAGCTGCCCAGTCATGTTGAAGTCAATGCCCTTTCCTTCAAGGACCATCTGGATGAGATTCTCTTATTTACTAGCTCTAAGCAGCCACATGAGTTAGATGGTTAGAATAGCCTTATTGCATCGAGCTTTGTTGCTCTTTTTTTTTATTAGGAATTTGTTTTTTTGCATACCCCGGCTTACTCTCCATGAGACACACAGACAGGGAGAGAAGTTTGGGGTCAGAGCGCAGGTTCAGCCATTTATACGGCGCCCCTGGAGCAGCTGGGGTTAAGGGCCTTGCTCAGGGGCCCAACGGAGTTGGATTCCTCTGCCGGCCGCGGGATACGAACCGGCAACCTTCCAGCCACAGGCGCAGATCCTGAGCCACAGAGCCACCGCTCCGTAAACTAACTGTTAAACTAGCTGCCCTGTGTTCTGGGTTCTGTGGGCTTCAGCCAGTCGCAGGCAGTTTAGAGGGGACAGCAGTGCCTGAAACCAGACTGAAGCAGGAGTGCTGCAAAAATACAAACACGGATGCAGAAGGATGTTGTGTATAAAAACATTGTGACCTGTTAGTTTTGGAATCAAATAGGCTACGTTAGAGAAAAGGGTAGATTTAGTTCTCCATGTTACGCTGCAGTGAAGTGAGACTCTGCTGAGCTGTGCCACCACTGATTTTTTTTTTTTTAATTCCGTTTATTCCTTTTATGTTCCAGATTTAAATTACCAGGATGGATTTCTCGAAGCTGCCCAAGATCCGCGATGAAGAGCGGGAGAGCGAGTTTGGATACGTGCATGGGGTGTCGGGACCTGGTCAGTCACTTTTCTTTCCGGCTTGTCTCGGGTGCGGCAGCGTAACTGATCGCAGGATCGGCCTGCTCCTGCCCGCGCCCAGAGACAAATCTGCAAAACTAAACGGCTCACATTCACGAAAATCATATTAATTGGATGAAATAACGTTGCTTTATATGCAAAAACCTCTGTGATTAATGATTACAATAATACAGTGATCCAATTAAAAATACTGAAGTTAATATGTTGAAATGAGCCTGTATTCTGTCCGTTTACTGCGATGGGAGGCTTGTTTGCTTGGGCCTCCTTACTTCCATGCAGAGAAAAACCCAGCTTTTTATTTGTGATCTTTGTAGCAGGTCAAAGTTCTGATGTAATCTGGACCTACCGCAGTATAAAGTAGGCTTGATCACAGTTTTAGAACTCCAGCTTCTAATAGTGCATTAGACGTAGCCAACAGGACAGTTTGTTCTCGTTTATGCAAAAAGATTGGTAATAATTAGAGTCACTGTAGGTTCTGCCTCACTGTAGGCAAGCAGGTTGGGCAGGTACAGTACCCACTGGCTGGATCATTCTTGGAGGCTGACATTTAACAGTAAAATTATTTTTTCCTCCCCTTTGTCAGGTTTATATTTTTTGCTCCCGATTTTGTCCTGTTAAAGATTAATTCTTTGGTGACTGCCTAGCTGAAGAAATAAGCAAGCTAGAAAACAAAGAATGGTTGTGTTGTAGTCAATTGTACTGTAACTAATTCTGAGAATAATTTCAAAATTAATTTTAATCTGCAGCCATGTTGCTGTAAATGTCAGTATAACTGCAGACAGATTAAGGCATTCTGCACTTCCATTTCAGTGATGATTCAGTGCTTTTATGTGTTCTCAGACACTCAATAGAGTGGTCATTAGGATCAGTGCTTGATTTGGGCCAGTACTTTCTGGTGCAAAGTTATCGGTACATCTGACTTAATTTTTTTGGGTCCTTGACATCAGTTAACAGAGCTTAATAAATTCCGTAACAACTCTGCCGTTTATTGTTTTAATCTTGTTTTACTAAAATTAATAAACCGTTAATCTGATTATAATCTTTAGTACTGAACATTATAACATGGGTATGATGTTTAATCCTATACATTTATAACTTGAGC